TACTGACATCAGCTGTGTGTGTGTGTGTGTGTGTGTGTGTGTGTCAGCGGTGGAGCGTAATAACCTGATGCGGTTGTCTCAGAGTATTCCATTCACCCCAGTGCCCCCTAGAGGTAAGACGCAGCACTGCCCTCCTGTCTCTCTCTGTCCCATCAGGCTTTGCTGTTTATCATGTAGTTCTGGGCGGCGTGACGGTAGTGATTGGTTTTTACATGTGAGAGAAGAAACATGGAGTGATATTAAAATACATCAGACAAATGTGCAAAGATTCTTAACTCAAGATACATTTACTGGAGTATGACAAAGCCTTGTTTTCTGATAAATAAATAGTGTATTTTAGGATTAAAACAAAAACAAATACCTGCCAATGAGCTCCAAAAAACCAACCCAATTCAAATGGAAAAAGTTTTCATTCCCCATTGGCAGATATTTGTTCTTGTTTTAATCATAAACTCGCTTGATTTTGTTCAGTATCTCAAAAAAAAAAAAGATTTTGCAGTTTACATCTCCAGTAAATGTGTCTTGATTTAAGGATGTTTAGATATTTGTATTGAAAAACAAGACAAAAATACTGAGGAAGAGATTCATTTTTTGCAGTTCATGCAACACTCAATGCCACGACTTTATGAATTTAAGACTCTGCTTCTTTTTAGGCTTCAATTTGTGGAAGGGTGAATTATGACTTTTGATGACCTTTTTAAGACCCACAGAAACCCTGAAATACAGCTGCTCTAAAAAGACAATCGTGTCAATATACAGTTCAGTTCATTAACAGTCAATTTCATTTCAATCCGTCTGATCTCAGTTTAATAATATCAGTCTGACTGTTTTAAATCTTTAGTTTCAAACTTGTGAATCTGTTTTTACACTGTTGTACATTTGATATGAATCAGCTGATTTGTGCTTTGAATCCATCAAATTCCAAATAAACAAAGTAATTAAATCAGATGAAGCAGCTTTTTGTTTGTAAAAGACTAAACTCACTGGATTATAAAAAATAAACAGTGTGTGTGTGTGTGTGTGTGTGTGTGATTCAGCTGCAGGTCTGTACGCTGGGCGACACACACACCTGGGGGTGCGTAAGGACTGTAAGTCTGACTCCTGCTGGTCTCTCTCAGCGCTGCACTTACACATACAGTACTACACTACACTGACAGCATCAGGAACACGGTAATATCGTGGTATTTTGTGTGTTGTTCTGCTCATTCTTTGCTCTGTGTGTCTGTGGAGCAGCGATCGGTTCTCCGTTCAAGCCCATGGAGAGTTATCAGTATTCAGGTCAGTGTTTCTGTCACTCCGTCCAACTAAAGCATAAACGTGTCCTGATTCGAACCCGACCCGCGACACCTCGCTCAAACACACACTGTAATGAGAGTGTGTTTAGCGGGCCGAGGCGCGGTGGTGTGACGTGTACTGACATCAGCCCTGTGTGTGTGTGTGTGTGTGTGTGTGTGTGTGTGTGTCAGCGGTGGAGCGTAATAACCTGATGCGGTTGTCTCAGAGTATTCCATTCACCCCAGTGCCCCCTAGAGGTAAGACGCAGCACTGCCCTCCTGTCTCTCTCTGTCCCATCAGGCTTTGCTGTTTATCATGTAGTTCTGGGCGGCGTGACGGTAGTGATTGGTTTTTACATGTGAGAGAAGAAACATGGAGTGATATTAAAATACATCAGACAAATGTGCAAAGATTCTTAACTCAAGATACATTTACTGGAGTATGACAAAGCCTTGTTTTCTGATAAATAAATAGTGTATTTTAGGATTAAAACAAAAACAAATACCTGCCAATGAGCTCCAAAAAACCAACCCAATTCAAATGGAAAAAGTTTTCATTCCCCATTGGCAGATATTTGTTCTTGTTTTAATCATAAACTCGCTTGATTTTGTTCAGTATCTCAAAAAAAAAAAAGATTTTGCAGTTTACATCTCCAGTAAATGTGTCTTGATTTAAGGATGTTTAGATATTTGTATTGAAAAACAAGACAAAAATACTGAGGAAGAGATTCATTTTTTGCAGTTCATGCAACACTCAATGCCACGACTTTATGAATTTAAGACTCTGCTTCTTTTTAGGCTTCAATTTGTGGAAGGGTGAATTATGACTTTTGATGACCTTTTTAAGACCCACAGAAACCCTGAAATACAGCTGCTCTAAAAAGACAATCGTGTCAATATACAGTTCAGTTCATTAACAGTCAATTTCATTTCAATCCGTCTGATCTCAGTTTAATAATATCAGTCTGACTGTTTTAAATCTTTAGTTTCAAACTTGTGAATCTGTTTTTACACTGTTGTACATTTGATATGAATCAGCTGATTTGTGCTTTGAATCCATCAAATTCCAAATAAACAAAGTAATTAAATCAGATGAAGCAGCTTTTTGTTTGTAAAAGACTAAACTCACTGGATTATAAAAAATAAACATTAAAACATGATTATTTACAATTAGAACCATTTTTCATTACATTTCCAACCACAAAACGTTACACAGAATTGCTTGATGTAAGGTGCAGTTCATGCCGCCCAGCCCTACGCTGTATTTGTTTGGTGATATTGTGTGTTTGCGAGGTCAGTTGCGTGTTACACACACTCCCAAACACACTCACTCACTCCAAAACACACACACTCTCTCACACACACTCTCACACACACACACACTCTCACTCTTACACCTACACACTCCAAAACACACACTCACTCACACACTCCAAAACACACACACACACACACACACACACACACACACACACACACACAGCTAAGAGACAGTCTACAAAC